CTAAATCCATAATTTTACAATAAAAAAACAATAAAAATAAACACGTATGTATTTTTTTATTAAGAACAGCGCAGAAAAGAGAGCAATAATTTAATAAATATTGTATTGGAAGCTACAACTGAAATAAATTTTATTGCAAATTTACGCGCCATAATACCTTTTTGACCCTAAAATTTTTATATGGAAATTACTTCTGTACATAGCGAACCATTTATGAAAATAGATTTTATTATCATTTGTTTTCACAATATTCCTTTCATCCTCTCTACTAAACTAGTACTACTAAAATACAAAAGTTAGGTTTAGTATTTTAGTAGGTTTGGGTTAGGTTTGGTATTTTAGTAGTATTGGGTTAGGTTTAGTATCATTTGTTTTCACAATATTCCTTTGATCCTCTCTATAATTACATTTACTCATTCCTCTCGTGACGATTCCCCAAAATAATAATAATTTTACACGCACACGCACATGAAGAAAGCGTCTATCGTCCATTTCGGCGTTTCGTGTTTGTAATACTTCCATCAGAAACGCAACAGGACGTTTCCAGTTTCGCGAAACGAACAAAAATGGGAATTCTCGCTGAGGCTGAAATTCTATATAGAAATTGTTTGCTTTTGTTTGACCAGTGATGTGTACGATGGCGCTCGAAAACGGGAGAAAAAATATCGATAACAAAGCAGAATCGTGTTTGCAAACGCTTTCACAAGCGTTGCATTTTTCCTTCCTTTCTTCTTTTTGTTTCTCTTCTCTTCTCCTTTTTTTTACCCTTTATTTCTACCCTCTTTTCACCACCCCGTTCCTTACGTTCCGAGTTTATTGGAAGATGCCGGTTTCTTTGACTTCCATCTGGCGTTTAACTGACAATTATATAACGCACGGGGGAAATTTCGACGATAACGAACAGAAAGGCGACGAAAATCGCCACAAAATACAATTAGACACGCTACTTAACAGTTTTCCTCGTGTCCCTTCGAGCTCGGCAGAATTTTCTTTGCTCATGTACACGAATAAAATATTGAAAAATGGAAACAATGACATATTACGTTCGTATATGAATACGACAAAAGGAAAAAAGTTTTTGAAGATTTTGTCTATTGAAAGTTATATAGCCGGCACTTTGCTTTGAATACTTGAACAATGTATATATAAATATATATATATATAAATTATATAGTTATATATAATTGTAACTATATATATTATAATTATAACTATATAAATATATAATTTAATTACAATTGTATAAATTATATAGATATAATTTAATTATAATTATATAAATTATATAGTTATATAAATAACTATATAATTTATATATATATATATATATATATATATATGTAATTTATAAAAGAACTATAGAACGTATAATCCTCTCTAATCACAATTTTATTTGCCTTTAAAAAAAAGAAAAGAAGATCACTTCGAAATTAAAATTAAATTCTGTTTGCTCTGAGAAAGAGAAGAAATCGACTATCATAAATAAATAATTTAGTATTTCTGTCATAATGAAATTTACAACAGCTCGTTTAAATTTCCAGCTACGTCGTTGTACAAAGAATTAAACAATTTTATCATATCAAACTGTAACACTTGTGAATTGCAGTATACAACGAAGAAAAGAAGAGAAGAAAGAAAAAGAGGGTGGCTCGGGAACGCGGAAACAAATTTCAATCGAAAGACTTAATAAATTTTATAATATTCAAACGAGTAACAGGAATACGCTGGACATTAATGTTCGCTTCTCGATTACTTAAATTATTACCCCAGCACAACATTGTTCCCGCGTACATTGGATATCGTCGATTTATTTGAGAATTTATGGTATCATGGATTTGTCAGAATTTATGGTATCGTAGGTATTATAGAATTTATGGCATTATACAGGAAGAAGGAGGAAACGAACCGACCTTTCAGGAAGCATTGATCAATTCTCATCATACATTCCATAATAGACTTGAGGGCATTTTACCTGGAACGAAATGAAAAATAACATGATTTGAAATAATTAATTATCGCGATTAATTTATTACAGCCATTTTAGAAACACGGGAGAAATAATTTTATTCAAACAAAACACTGTTATTTAACTCGATGTTATCTTGAAATAAATTTGCGTTAGTTTGACTGGACTATCGAATAAAATCGTGCTTTACTTTATTTTATATTCTGTATTTGTTACTGCAAATTGTATTTCTGACTATTGTATTGTATAAACTTCACTCTGTGCTGGAATTACTTGTTATTTTATCCCAGTGAATTAATTCGAACGAAAGATTCTTTGCAAGCGATTTACTCGATTTTCATTTGTCAAATAAACATGACAAATTAGAGGGAATGATTCATCGTTTCGAGAGAAATTTTAATAAAACGCACGTTTTTTAATAGATTAGTAAAGAAATGTTTTGAATAATTATTATGATAATCATTTCAAATGATTTTTTTTTTCATCTTCATTGTAAATAAAATTTATTCAATCTGATCTGTTCTATACTATGCTTTCAGTATGTATCTTTTAAAAAATCGACAGATAAATTTTCGTTGAAAATGAATTCTTTAATTTCACATTCGAGACGATTATCACAATAATTATTCAAAGCATTTGATTCGGTTCTTTAGTAAATTATAAAACGCGTGTGTTTGATTAAAATTTCACTTTAAGCTGCTTAATCATTTTTCACTTTTAATGTCGCGCTCTTTGTTGGTGTAATGAATGAATAACATAATAGAGAGAACAGAAAAGAAGTATAATGATAATGTAGAGTGGAATTTCATGTAGTTTCCTCTCATGCTGTATATCATTGTCAGCTCAGGAAATAAATTTTTGTTAATACTACTTAGAGAAAAGACAGTGAACGTAAAGGAAAATTTAACCTAAATGCAGATTTATGTTAATGCTGAAAAGAAATTAAGAAATTAATGACGGCGGCGTATGAATGAAAAACATAACCACGTTGTGACTTTGTTTCCTGCAGCTTCGACAACATTCAACGCGTAAAGTGTCATATCTAAAATAGGCTCTTTTTCGAGAAAATTCTCGTTTCTCGAAATTCATATTAATATTAATAATCGAAAAAACGAGAACTTCAATTTCGGATATGCCATCTTACTAAAAATAAAAACAATGGAAAATTTACCTGGATTGCTTCTTCTTAAAATTAAAATTTAGATCCTAAAGTTAGATCATCTCCTAGTTAATTATTTAAAAATAAGTTATACCCTTCGTTATAAGATCTCAAAAATTGTGTGATACAATTTTGTATGTTGCAACTCATTGAATGAACGAATGATTATACAATTAATTATTAATGAAATGTTACCAATTATTCAATGAACGAGTATAAAAAAATGTTCAAACAGAATTAATTTTTGTGGTATGAATGAGGAGAATAATTCTGGTAGCAGAATGCAGACGAAAAATATTCATGCAGTTCCATATGGTGAGAAAATATTTGTGAATATATCCCGAACGCCATGATCTGTAACACGATAAAATAAATTAATAAATAATTTATATATATATATATATATATATATATATATATGATAAAATAAATTAATAAATAATTTATATATATATGAAATTGTGTAATCTTTAATTGATTCTAATGATTTCAGTAATAGCTATTATCCTTAAGATCGAGTTGCACCTTGAAACGAACTAGGTAACCGTGACGAATTATTCATTTAGAAAGGTATACTTTGAGGATCGGAATGCGGCTGAATTAATTATCAAATTGGAACTTATCTACGTTGCGAGTAACATTAAAACTAAATTGTCCGGTGAGTAAGTTACAATTTATTTGTTTAACAAGTAATTAAATGTGTCACGAATTTGCGTAAACGAACGAAAGTGAAACACGAGGAAAGAAAGAAAATTTTTGTTAAAGCAATACGAAGATCGACTGATAGAAAGTTGTGCGTGCCAGTTGAAAAATCAAAAGAGGATACTGAATTGCGTGTATAATGAAAAACATAGCTGATTGCTAATTATATAATTATAATATTCTCATTCGTACAATTATGAACGAAGCACTTTCCTTCTTATCGATTTGATAAAAATGCTTTAATAAAATCTATCTACGTTTGTGTATTATTTATCAGCCGACTTTCGTAAGATCTCCGGATCTTAATCTACTATTAATAATTGATCTTTTGCAAGAGATTCAGTACAGCTGAGCTTCGCTCGCTTCACGTACGTAATACGTAAAGTAGGAGGAGCTCGTTCGATTTGATTGTAAAAAGACTGTGTTGCATTTGCTGCTTTACTTCATACAAATGCAATTACATTCGTTAAAGTTTAATATCTACACAAATACACTGCAAACTGCTTCGTAGACACGCATTGACGAGGGGGGAATTTGCGATGATCCAAATCCCTCCTTCTCTTTCTGACATCAAACACAACTGTACAATCTTTTGATATAAATCAAAATAAAGAGAAACATTTTACACATTGTACATGTATCATTGTATACAAACAATTATATGTACAGTTATCTCTTTGAATTAAACCAACGTCAACCTGTTAATTGGAGAGAAGACGAATGAACTCTCTTGAATATAATAATTTCCTCACTGATCTTTCCATGCACGTTTATTTATCGGTGAAATTAATTTTATTAATATGTTTGAATGACATATATTATTGTGTTAATATATAATTTATATTATAATGTGTAAGAGTGTACATTAATTACATTTGTATTTATAAAAGTATATACAACACATATTAGCACTTTGCATTAGTAATTACAAAAGATTGGAAATTCATTATTTTAATAAATATGTAATTTTAATATATATATAAATTTAATTTAATATATATTTTAATATATATTTTATAAATTTAATATATATTTTTTAATATATATATATAAATTTTAATACATATATTTTTTAATAATTTAATAATGACGCTAAAAAAAGAAGTCACTAAATTATTCAAATCAATTGGATAATTACCAGCATGAAGGTTCGAAATCAATGAAAGCTTGAAATCAATCAATCTCCAATTTATTATGTTTTAATAGTTCGCGATTATAAAAATTCCTGATTAAAAAACGGGCCAATTAACAGATTGACGATGTGATCGATTATGAACAACAATAAAATAAAATATGTAATTTCATTCGATGTTGAAACACGGTAATCAGATTGTATTAATTATAAGGAAAAAAAATCTCGATTACGTATCGATTTATTTTTATATATGTACAATATTTATTTCTTTGAATCCTCTCAGAGTTGCTACCGAAAAATATTATGCAATTCACGACAATATGTCATCAATGAAAATTTCATTCTCTATAAAAATGGTAAATTTCAATGAATTACAGTTAAGTTAATTCACTTATTATTAGACAATTTGGCATTATCTATCGTTAAATCCTATTGATATTTTTACGTCAAAGGGTTAAAATAGAACCTGATTCGAATCGGACATTACAACTAACTTTGTACACGAATTCGTCGCGAAATTTGTCCTCTTGAAAAAATTCGTCCTCTTGAAAAAATAAAAAAAAAAAAAAAACAATGGAACTATTATACAACGAACAGGAATCACGAGCTAAGACAGGACAATGTTATTCAGCCATGCTTCACGTACCGGAAATTGTAATAATATTCAGTTAGTGAGTATAGCATAGAACATCCAGCAAGTTTCCCTTTCTCGAGAGTTTCCTCGACTTAAATCTACGTAAAGCGTTTCCCAAACCACCTTGACTCACAAATTAATCACTTTGTACAATCTCGATACTAGCTAAAATCCCTGGAAAACCATTCAACAAATCCTGACAAAGAAACAAATAATTAGTCCCGCCATCGCCATTTATTTAGGCTAATATTTATATATAGTTTTATATATTTATACAGCTGCTATATATACATATGTAGTTTGAAAAATGCTAATGTACTGGCACTTTGATACCTTAAGGAGTTGAACAAATAATTTGTACAATTTCAACAGGCTTGAGCACTATTCAAAATGATGAATAACGTTTCATTTTATTTAGCTACAGCGAAGAGCATAACTGAACCAATAATTGTGCATCATATTTAACATTAAAGTATACAAAATACTACAACAGTGATACAAAGCGTGTAAAATAAGCTCAGAATATAAAAATTTGTTTGCACTGTGGTGCGGCACATCTTTGACTTCACTTGAGAATCCGTGAGAATTTTTAAAAAGGAAAGTATAAGACTTACAAATGCTCATCGAGAGTCTTGAACTTCTAAAGAGAATTCATAAGTAATGGAATTAAATTGCTGGTGAAATCTTTTTACATAAAAACTACAGAATCGTAAGGTAAACATTAGCATGTTATTAAAATTGAAAAATTTTGTTGTACAAAAATTAATAACAAAATTAAATGTGAAATTTCTTAAATTTCTAAAAATAACACGTAAAATCTCTAGAGGCAACTAATAAAAAGTATTGTCTCCAATTGCCCAAAACGTTCATCTTATTATTAATAATTACTAATGATTTATAAAGTTTGTACAAAACTGATTCAATTATGTTTCTTATTATATAGCTAAAGTTGAAACAATAACTTCAAATAAAACGTGCCCAAGCCTGAGTTTCAACTTGCCTCGTTAAATCACTTTGTCATCGATGGCGAGAATTACCTTTATTAAACTTTAACGCTCGATAATCACTTCTGTCTCTGTAAAAACGTTGTTTGTAGGCCTTTGATATATTTCTTAAGATCGAGTATGAACACGAAGGAATCGTCATTTCAGGCAGCATAGATCAATTCTTTGTTGCGTTCGATTAATTGCTTAAAAAATTGACAGACGAGATTTTGTAATTCACAGATTGCGAGTTTCGTTGCAAGGAACAAATTCTGTTTGTGAATGCAACGTTGCATTAAATACTAGAAAATGATCGTCGCGAATAGATGAACTCGACGAGAGATCACACAAACTGTCTCACCTAATACAACTTATCAAGAAATTTCTTGTATATTATATATATATTTTCTTGTATATTATATATTAGGTCATCCTACGGATAATATTGTTATTATATCGCGAAAGTATATTTTTATACATAATAAATATAAGGAACGATTCGTTAGTAATGTTTCAAAACTCTAATAATAACAATTCTCATTATTTTAAACTCAACTTCAAGAAGACTATTATTCATAGGATGACCCAATATTTATGTAAAAAAAAGATAATAATCGTAGAATGACAATATCCTTCGCTTGTATTTTCTGTCATATATATGCTACTGAAATTAAATATTTATACATCATTAAGAGAAAAGTAATTGATTAAATGATTAAATTGCTTGATTTAGATGAGACACCTTATATACAACAATCGAAAGGAATAAAAAAAGAATATTCAATGATCATGTCCAACAATGAAGATATACATCAATTGGACGTTCGTTGCTCTCATTCTTCGACAAGTATCTTAGAGCGAATGTTCATTTACATACAGTTATTTTCCTCGGCGAACAAGAAGTGCACCTTTGTTTAATTAAGTTGACATCTCGCGTCTTGTTCCTATTATTCCTCGAGGTAGTCAAAAATTTAGCAATTTTTTTCGAATTTTCGTATCCTTAAGGCTTTACAATAAACAATTACCTTATTTGTTCATAAATCTTACACTATATCGACATTTTATGCGATTAAAAGAAACGAAGAAAAATTATGTAAAAATATATATGTATATAAAAAAAAACATTGAAATTTGATTATCAAATCGACCCGGGATAAATTGGAACACGAATGATCTTTACCTACATTTTGGACGACAACGACGGCCGAAGTCGATTAATCGAACAAAATGCACTCTTGTTAAAAAAAAAAAGAATATATAAAACGATAACTAATTCAGAGACGTTTCAGTCTCGAATGATTTAAAAGTTCTATTCTAAAGTCAAGACTAAATCGTCTCCTTCTAATCTCATTCCTTGAGTGACGTCCAGCGTCTTGATCTTTCCAGCTTTTGGAGCTTGGACCACCATCTCCATTTTCATGGCTGATAATACAACTAAGGGTGCTCCTTTCTCGACCGTGTCGCCTACTTTTACCCTGATGTCGATCACAGTGCCAGGCATCGGTGCTCCGATTTGGTTCTTATCTCCTTTAGCAGCCTTAGGATGCACGTGGAGTTCCTAAAAAAGAGAAAGATTTTTTTCCGAGACATTTTAATAGTCACAAAAGTTTACATACATTTGTGAAATTTCAAATATTTAAAATAAATTTAAAAAATAATTCAAATAGAGAGAGAAGATTTGAGAGAAGATGAATCTTAATTAATTTCCTAGTTACAATTAGACTGTTCCTAAAATATTAACAATATTTCTTACAATTCAAAAAACATTTTTGTTTCTCTTTAAATATTTAAAAAACAGATTTTCCTGACTATAACTTATATTTTGAAGTAAGAATCAATGAGTTATAGACGGCTGTAGTAATTTATACTGAAAATTTGAACATTTCGTTTTACTTTCTTTCTGGTGGAGATTTAAAAGATTTTAATAATAAAATTAAAAATATTCCAAAACAAAGTAAAAATGTAATTTATTACAAATTAAATTATTACAGCCTCCAATGTTCAATAGTATCAGTTAAAGTTTAAAGTTACCTTAACAGCCTCTTTATCCTTAATGAACACAGATCTGAGTTGACCATTCATTTCAAAGAACACCTCGCGCTCTCCATTTTTAGTAAGATCCTCAGCGACTGCCAAAGTCTTGATAGCCAAGGTTTTCCCCTTTTCGATCGTTACATCGAACTCTTCACCGACTTTTGGTCCTGTCAAGAATATTCTCGTCTCTAGTTTGTCCACTGGGCCGAACTTCTCGCGGAAATTTAGGTAATCGTCCGTAACTTTGGGATAAAGGGCGGCTGACATAACGTCTTTATACGATATGTGGGGGTGAGATTCTTGTAATTGAGATTTCAAAGCGTCGAAGTCCAACGGTGCCAAGCTGGCACCTGGCCTTCCTTTTACGCGTGGCATGTCTTTCAATACTTTTGACCTATAAAATACAATTACAAAATTTAGTTAAAAATAGATAGGAAAGTTCAGTGAAACGTAGTTGTGAAACTAATAAGAAAGATACATTATTTCTGATATATCTGTAAAGTAGACGTAATACATCAAGATCAATTTTATCCAAAAGAAATACAGAGTCTACGTAAATTACTCTAAATTTAAAACTTTGGAATACCATCAAATAAAACAAGTATAAATAACGATTAAAATAATAAAAAGAATAAACAGATTCTTTCTTCAGGTTTTAAGTTCTGAATCTAACTTAAATGTTATCAATTTATAAATAAATATCAATATCTTTGATAACATAATCTTTTCTATTGAAAAAATCTTTTCTATTGGTTTTACTCAAAATTCATATAATACTTCATCTGCCAAATTCTTCATAAAATCTACAATATTGTACAAAATTCCCTGCAATATCTATAATAATTAAGTTCTCCTCCAAACTTCAAATTCTACAATCTCTATAATATAATAATTAAATTCTACGATAATTTAAATATTTTGTGACTGACTAGACATTTATCGAAAGAGATAATTTATTATTTACAATAATTTAACGTACCTAAGAGGTTCAGGGAATCCTCCGTAAGGTTCGCCGATAGCACCTTGCAAGAATTCTACGACCGATTTAGGGAAAGAGAGTTCTTCCGCTTTCTTCAGTACATCGTCAGCCGAAAGTTTATTCTGAACCATAAACTGCGCCAAATCACCAACTACTTTCGAACTGGGCGTAACTTTAATGATATCGCCGAGCAACAAATTCGCTTCCCTGTATGCTTTCTTCACATCCTCGAAGAATTCTCCCAAGCCGAGAGAATACGCTTGGAATTGTAAGTTCGTGTATTGACCGCCAGGAATTTCATTCAAGTAGACGTCCGCATTTCCAGATTTCATGGTCGTCGTACACTCGAACGGAGCATATAATGTTCTGGTCTGCTCCCAATAGGCCGAGTATTCCGAGACATCACCGAGATCAAACTGCGTGTCGTTCGGAGTCCCTGCAAATTTATTTTGTTTGTGGAAATTTTAATTTAAATTTGATCACTATCTCTTAATTAATCTATATGAGATCAGCAATCCGGTAGAATAAATGAATTAATCTGACAGTGCTATTTATGGAGTTGTAAATAAAATGAGAAACACTGCAACTGAGTCTATGTAATATAAATCTAAATCTAAACGTAATATCTAATACCAATTATATGAATATTATATCAATTTTCACAAAATCTGTAAAACATTAAAATCTATAAAACATATGATACTTCGTTACATTAATTCTTTACAATTGTATAATTTTCGATACTATAGCTTAACTGCTTGAGGTTCGTATAGAAGTGCATAAAAAATACAAGTTAACTTTTTCTTTAATCGCCATTGTCAATCATATCGAAAAGTAGATCTACAATACAACGTTTTTCGTTTCTCGCTATTTTTAACTTTTATTCAATAAACATTATTTCTTTGTATGTTATGTAAGGTCTCTGATATTAATGATATTATAGTATATGATATCTAGATTTTATACAGATTTATATGTAGTGTTTATACAAGTGTCATTGTACTATATGATATGATTTGTACATTTAGATTTACTCCAGTAATTCCAAGTGAAAATTTCTGCTGACGTTACTTTCACTCAATCAAATACAAGCAGTTTGCTCACCAATGAGACAGGCGACCACAGCACCCATGGATGGTTGGCTCGTCATTCCAGACATACTGTCGACAGCAACGTCAACGACATCGGCGCCGCTTTCTGCACAAGCTAACATCGATGCTACTCCAGCACCCGCGGTATCGTGAGTATGAACATGAATAGGAACATCAGGGTGCTTCTGTCTGATCGCGTCGATCAACATACGAGCGGCTTTCGGTTTCAAAAGACCTGCCATATCCTTAATCGACAACACGTGGGTACCGGCCTTCACCAACTCGTCCGCCAAATTCGTGTAGTATTTCAGATCGTACTTTTCCTTCTTTGGATCGCTCACATCTCCAGTGTATGAAATCGCTGCCTCGACGATGCCTCCTGCTTTGCCAGCTGCCTCCATACCTGGAATTTCATTTTATTCCTTGTACTATGATTATTTTATCAAGACGTTTGAGAAAAAACAAAGTCATTTTCTAGAGCCTACAAATTAAATTTCTATAATTTTACTATGTGATATAATTAATTCGTGACTTTCTTCATAATTATTTATAAGTTATAAATCGTGCAATTATTTGTAAATTGTAAAATTATTTAGGGGAGATGAAGATACGTTTTAATTTGATAAATAATTTCCATCAGTTCGTACAATCACTTTGTCTCATATAATATCATGAACTCGAATGACATAAATATATTATTCACTTGGAACGTGAAAATATTTCGTATAACACACATGATACATTCATAAAAAATTCTTATAACTATTCAAATAGCGAGCTTTCGCGAGCAACATATTATATATATGTAAAAGCAAAACCAGTCTTCAAGTTATAAAATATATCATAATTAATTATTATTTCAGTTTAAAGATATTCAGGTGTTCAATTTTCTCCAAGAATCGCCTGTACTATTGCAACAATATTTAAAAATGAAAAATTTTCTCATCAACTCACCAAGAATCAGATTCGGCAGATAATTCAACGAATCGAATACTCTGAACACGTCCATTCCAGTCTGCACAGCCAGTTCGCAGAATTTGTAAACGACATTGTCAGGGTAGTTGGTATAGCCAACGGCATTGGCACCTCTGAGAAGCATCTGAAAAGGAATATTTGGTATCGCCTTCCTCATGTCCTCCAATCGTTCCCAAGGACACTCGTGCAAGAACCTGAGAGCAACGTCAAACGTGGCACCGCCCCAGTTTTCCAGGGAGTAAAGATTGCTGAATTTGTGGGCGACGAAAGGCGAGATGGTTAGGAGGTCATGCGACCTGACACGGGTCGCTAGAAGAGACTGATGTGCATCACGGAACGTGGTGTCCATCAGAAGTAACCCTTTGTGCTGTCTGACAGCCTTGGCGAACGCTTCTGGACCTTGCTCCTTGTAAATGTGACGAAAGCCTTTCGGTGGTTCCATTACATCTGGAAAGTTCAGAAGGAATTCGTTGAAATTCAAATATCTAGAGGAACCGCCAGAGCTTTTCACGTGCGGGGTTAGTAGCTTTATAAAAGAAGCGTTAAAGAAGATAAAAGAGAGACCGAGAAACAAGAATTTACGAATAGTATGAATTTTTGTGAAAATTCCTAGAAAAAAAAAGAAAAAGTTTAGTAAAATATTTTTTTAAATGTTATATATGTAGATAAATATTATGGATATGTGTATTACAAAAAGCATCGTTTTTAATTTTGAAATTTCCTATAAATGCATAAAAGTTCACAGTCTATTTATTAATGATGACACTTTAAGTTAAAATATTTGAAATAAATATATCTTCTAATCTTGTTTAAATGGAAATATACAGTCTTCAAATCTCTCTCACGTTATGCTGAAGAAATTTAAAGACTTTAAAATTAAAATTATACTTCCCCTTACTGCTGTAATATCAAATTATATTACAAAAAAAGCAATCTGTTCTCTCTTTGCTGAAAATAGTTCCAATTTGTACAGTGTTACTTGCACTGTAATAAATAGACTGCGGATTTTTGACAATATAATTAGAAAAGCGAAATCACTATGGAAAATTATTTTAACTACCAAACATTATAGAAAACATTATACTTTTGCATATATCTTACATATATATTTTATTTACGTACATTTTCATATTACAAATATTTTGCATTCTACAATTTTATATAATTGCAGAAAAATCCGCAGTCTGGTAATATTTCTTTTACTTTTTATAATTAGTTTAGACTTCATTTTTATAACATGTACCAACAAATTCCGGTATTACCCAAATTACATTGACAACACATACTACACTCTTCTAAATCACAATTGTCACCCATAAACAAGTAATTAAATAAGAATTCAATATTTCACTTCGTAATATAACGAAAACCCTTTCGATCGTATAAACCAAACACCAATGCCAATTTCAATTCCAATATTTGTAAATTACAAATTCGAATCATGTGCGACTCGTCTGTAATACAATTGATGTACAATCACGATAATTTATCGTTTGATTTTGATAAAAAAAAAAAAATATCGAATTGTGCCTATTTTCCTACCTCCAGTTTCACTCCTTTCCTTATCCAACTGACTTAATTACTTTAAAATAGAGGAAAAAAAGCATAAGAAGATATGATGATAACACAATTTAAGGCATACCTGATGTGTCTGGATCACTGCACTCTTCTGCAGCTGCATTAAACTTAGCAAAGTCTAAAAAAAATGGCCAAACAAAAAGATAAAAGCATGCGATAAACAATGACATGTAATTACAAGGTTTATTAATTTCTAAAAAATAAAATTACTGGACGATAAATAAAGATATAAAAAAATATAGTGATGAGATTCGAAATAAACACGCTCTACTTATAATTTTTCGAAAAAAATTCAGATGACAAGCGTAATAATGATATAGTAGTACAATTATTTTTTAATCAAATTTTATTTTCTCGAAATTAATTTTGTTCAAAATGATGGGATTACTCACATTGAATACATTAATGAATACATTACACATCAAAAATTGTAATTTATTACAAACATGATTTTTAATTATCTTAGTTTCTCTAATCTTTCTAAGCTGTTAAATTGCATAATTATAAAGTTAATAATTCCTTTAGAACATTTACTGAGATATTTACTGGAATTATCGACGTTTGAATAATCGAAATTCTACTAACCATCATATCGTTCATTGATATAATGCTAAAATATACTAATAATGTCGAAAAAACTTGTACTAAAAACTTGTCGAAATAAAATTGAGAGAAATACATTTATTATTAATTAAATATCATCAATTTACTATTATTTATTATCTATCATCAATTATTGTTTAATGGTAAATGGTATTATTTAATGATTTGAAAATGCTTTTACATTAGTTAATACTGAAAGTCTTATTTTGTAATACTACATATCTTTCGTGATAACAAAATCTCTGACAACTGTATTAAGAAATAATTATACTATTACATTATTAATACGCATTTTATCTAAATTTTTTACGTCCCCAAAAATTTACGAGAGTATTCTTACGATAGAATCCCTCATATTATTGCAAATTAATGGACACAAGGAGAAAAAGTTTTAAATCACAAATGTTTCAGTCACATTGTGTGCCGAAAGAAAAATCTAATCTAAAGTTACGTCGTATAGAAATTAGAACACCATGCCAGAAAAGTATGTTATATGTAGAATTAAAAATAAAGGATTTCACGTGTATAGGTGCTGTATCTGTGTGTGTACATAGCGGCCCAATTTTGAAATAGCAACATAAAATATTTAATAGTGTAAATCCTTTGCGATTGATTTTTAACCCAAGAAAGAAGCGTGAAAAATATTGAAGAGGGTGTCTATACTACTACTAACTTTCTCTAGTAATTTAATAAAAATTATAAAAATAGACTGGCCTTTCAACAAAATTTACTAATCATGCAGTTGTTTGATCTAATATTTAAAAAAAATCTTCGTACATTCACCACACATGATTTTTTATAACAAACATTAAAATAGAATATTAAAATATTAATAATTATTGATTATATGTTATCAATATTGAAACAGTACATGTATATATCTATCTATATAAGTATATAAGTTTTTAAATCTGGAATAAATAAACATTCAACAAAAATAGTTAAGTATAATAAAATGATCTTATTCCTTCTTTCCTGTATATTAATGAAGATTAAAATAAAATATTCTTAAAAAGATATAAATTTAACAAACAAAACCTAGCCTGTTCCATTATACTAAAGATCAAAGAAATAGACTACCATCAATAGACACCCTCTAGTTGCCTCACAGAAAGAAGAAGTAGAAAAGATTTAGTCCCATTGATTCCTATCGAAACATAATGAAATCAAAAGCAGTTCGTGTGCTTCTGACATTTGAATCGTACCCAAACATGAAATCGATGCGAATAGTAACTCAAAGTGTCGTGTATACACGTGACTGGACATTTCCCCGTTCCCAATCGAAGCTTGGATACCATACCTAGAGCAATCTGAGGAATGTGAGGCTTTATGTCGGCTGGTTTCAACGATGTGGCCAACGGAGTACTTGGTCCGTTCACCAGAACCGAACCAATATAATTTAATAACTTCTGAGCACGGTTCTGACTCGGTTGAAAGTGGAATAACTGCGGATTCTCGTCGATGAAGTACGTGTCGACGTTTCCATTGAGGAACTTTTGGTTTTCTAGCACGTTCAGGAGGAATGGGATGTTGGTTTTCACTCCGCGAACTCGGAACTCGCGGAGGGCACGGTTCATTTTTGCACAAGATGATTGCAAGTCCCCTGCATGAGCGATAACCTGAGAACATAAATAAAAGAGTGATGAGTACTCTTAATAAACGAGTGATTAGTATTACTATTATTTAGTTCTAAATTATGATATTGTAGAGATTAAATGAAAGGTAAAGGACAAGATAACAAATATAATAACTAATAAATCCGGTCACCAGTCAAAAAAAAAAACTTCTTTTCAAAATCCAACTCTGTCTTCGAGTCAATCAACTCTGTTTGCATCGATCAACTGTTTTTTTTTTTTCTGCCACCATATTCATACTTCTCCTGTTTTCACGCATTCCTTCACTTAGCAAACACAATAGGCTATCTGGTATAATTAAACGCACTACAAAGTTATGACTTAAATGATTAATGACCTACGATGCTACAGTATCAACATTATAGTAATAAATAAGTATCAATAAGTTTTCTGGCTCTAAAGAGAGCAAACTGAAGACTAACAGTTGTCAATAAATTGTAGATTTTTATGCATTTATAAAAATATATAAAATGTCCAAAGTATTATGGTTTCTGTATATGTAATATGTAAAGCTATTTTCTGTTTTTTTTTTAATTATACGAGAGTAATTGAATAATTATTCGAAATGTAGTGACACAGTTTTGTTGTATTGACTATAGCATTATTTGATCTCATTGATTTATTGCAACTGTATAAGTTTTTTTATCATTTTATGTTTGCATCAAAGAAAGACAGCACATTATTATTCGATTTTTATAATGATTATATCAGTAGAGGTGTGCGAGAACCCGAAATATCGGGTTTTAAATTCATGGTGACAATGTATGCATTCTGCCTTTGTATCATCTTTTTCCTGAAAATGTTCCCAAACAAAGCTTCTCTTGACCTTCTTCCTTTACACGATATCTTCTGCACTACTTCCTGCTACCACAACTTTACTCTCACTATCACTCGACATTTTTTTTAAAGATTTTTAATCTTTATTAAATTCACACAAATTTTGAAATATACGTCTGAACTTCCCGAGTTTCTCAGCGATACTGCTCAACAGCGTACATAATGTCCAAGTACTAAGCACGCAGTCACACGTTTGCTTACATCAGGTCACACGATTCTTAGAATCCATGTTTCCAATAACTTCACCAAAACTGACAGAAGAAATTGAACTGTGTATTTACATACAATATTATAAAGTAGTTCGAGAAACGGTAACCGAGTTCCCGATATTTTCGGATTCTCGCACATCCCTAGATATCAAAGATTGAGATTTATAGAAAACTTTGACATATAAAAAAAAGAAAATGTGTAGCACATTAAATGTGTAAAGCACATCAAAGCAATTTAATGTTACAATTTTTCTTTAATATAATGTATATACTACGAATGAATTAATAAATTTAAAAATGGTCAAAAAAGAACTGAAAGAAGCAATAGCTTGTTTCTTGATGAGAAAGAAACTTTTTTTTTTCTTCTGAGAATATAACAATGATATAAAAGCCTGTACAGAAATGAAATAACAAGAGAGCTATATTGAAAAATGATATTATTGCAAGAGGTCTTTAATTATCTTTACCTTGACAAGAAGCGAATCGTAGTAAGGCGAAATAATGGCACCAGCGAATGCGGACGCACTATCCAATCGAATACCCATACCTTCTCCAGAACGGAACACTTCGATTCTTCCAGTATCCGGTTGGAAGTTCTTCGCAGGATCTTCCGTTGTCACACGGCATTGTATGGCGAAACCCTGAGGAATAATCTTCTCCTGAGTCATACCCAACTCAGGTAACGTTATACCCTCGGCAATACGAATTTGAGATTGCACCAAATCGATTCTAAAAAAAAAACATAATCGTGTGTTGGTCTGATAGAAATTATAAAGGAGCTTGATATATAGGCAGATGTATGAAATTTGTTGTTTAAACGTTTATTGTAATGATATTGAGCCATTTGAATGTATGATAATTTAGTTACGGTTTTCGCCAAATTTTTCTGTGGAAATCTTTTTATGCAATAACTTTATGTAAAGTAATAAATTGATATAATATATGTATTCTTAATATGTAAGGTGGATTAACTCGTATAAGATGTGACAAGAATGTCAATTGTAAGTACATAGATTAAGCCTCTATAATATCATAATTTGAAATTACATAATTTTCTGTTATTTAACTTGGAAGATATATGTTCATTTGTCCATATCTTGCAAATTATATTTATTGTTTTTTTATTATATTTCATCAATATCCTATTGCAAAAACACTCAATTTTATTTATAGTAATTGTTAGTTTCCAGATTTTTCATTGTTAAACTTGGAAAGTGATTAATTTTTTGTTGTCCATTGCATCAACTAGATCATCTATCATTTACAGTTATATATATAATTAAATTAAAATAGTAATCAATAACTTGCTTAATTTAATTACAATAACTTACTAAATTACAATTAAATTGTAATAGTAATTTAGTAACTATTAGTGCATATATCACTATCAGAAAATTTCCTTGAAAAATTACATATTAGTTATTTTAATAAAACTCCAGCAATTCTACTATTAAGAAAGAGCCTATCGTACTTATGTAAATGCTGAAAATCACGTGCAGAAAATACAATAGACGAGCTTATGCAGATTGCTTGTCACGTCATATCTTTCCCAGTACATACCCAGTGATCTCCTCCGTAACAGTGTGTTCGACTTGCAACCTAGCGTTGACTTCGATAAAGTAGAAATTTCCGGATTCATCGGCCAAAAATTCCACGGTGCCAGCATTCGAGTAACCAACATGTTTCGCCAATTTTACAGCATATTCTGTCATTTTGTTCCTGATCTTAGGATCTAAGCTTGGCGCAGGAGCAATCTCGACAACCTGAAATTTCCAAGATAATCTAAACTTCTTTGGAACTAAATAAATTTTAGAAAACTATTGTTATGTCATTCCTTGATTAAAAGTATTAAAGTAAATACTAAGTAAATACTTTAGTAAATAATATTAGTAAATACTAAGTTCTTAATTTAGTAATAAATTATAATATTAGTAAATACTAAGTCCTTCGGCAAGTACTCAATCGTTGCAATCATAGTTCAAATATGTCAAAACTTTAGGATAAATCATTTAAACTATTAAGGATAAAGCAACAATTTATCATGATATTGTAAATCTGAACTAATAAAAACATAAAAGTGTTCAATTAATGAAACTATCTCTTTTCTGATATTAAATCATATGTGTCCAAAAAAAAACATCAAGAAAATTGTTAGTTTATTTTAATATTATTTTTAATAATATTTTAATAATATTTTAATTTAAATTTTTAATAATATTTTAATATTTGTTTTTCACTATTACTAAGAGTTTGAAATATACATATGTATATATGTGTAAAACTTGATTAGTTTCTCCATAATATTATGTATTTATTTGTCCCCATTTTCTGATTTAATTTTATATTCAACAAACTGGTATTCTAAAGTTTTCCTCTACGATAAAAAATCTTTTTTTCAAGTTTAATTTCATTCTTCAATTTCATTCTTCTCTGCAAGAGAAAACTGTAAAAAATTATCATAAATTTTACATCCTGGCGTGTAAAAACTACTTCCTCAAACAATTTTGCTGTCTCGTTTCATTTATACAATGTTTCACAACGCCGACAAATACACGTTCAACTAGAATTAAAAATAGAATCGTTCAATTATCGTCGTTTTTCTTCTACGCTTCTTTTTTTCCTTCGCGTACTTATCCTGCAGTTTTTCCACTCTGTCCCCGTTTTCTATGCGATATATATGGGAACAGCCGAGTTCGTAAATGTCATTTAAACGCATAACAAGTTCTTGAACGAGGTGAAGAAATGAGGCGATTTTTTTCTTTCATTATTCCTCGTGGCGGAGGACATAACTGAGTAATTATAAATTTCTAGATTGTAGATTTTAGAATTGTAGATTTTTAGACTTAACATTAAAATATACAAAAAAAAAAACAACGCTTCAATATCTTGCGCTTCAATTTATTTCACTCCAACATATTGCGCTTCAATTTATTGTGCTTCGACATATTGTTGACATCTATTACACTTTGACATACTGCGCTTCAATTTATTGCGCTCCAACATATCACGCTTCGACGTACTGCGCTTCAATTTATTGTGCTTCAGCATACTGCGCTTCAACTTAATACGCTTCGCAGATATTATTACCATTGTCATTAAAAGAAAGTCACCACTTATTAAAAATGAAAACTCGCAGAAGACTCAGATAATTATTAATAGTGCTTATGAATAAATAATATTATATTAATATGCATATTTAAAATGTAGTATAATACTATGTCCAATAATGCAGATACAATTTTGACATATAGAATATATACATTTAATTTTGTATCTTACATAGAATTAAGAAACCAAAAAATTTGTATGATTCATTTTATTGGAATTGAATTTAAATTCAAGAATAATTTGGAGAATTTATTAAATCCTATGTTAGTCCATTAATATCTGATACTCAATTGTTTGAGTCATCTAAAATTGTATTTACAAATTATGTAACAACGATATTACATAAGTTGATTAACTATGTAACAACAGCTTATATAATAGTTACATCGATAAATTACGTTCGACAGTTTCAAACATAACGTTGCAATTTATTTCCTTTCCCGTAATGAAATTCAATCGATATCTATTTCACGAGAAACGGAAGAGTTATTGGATTAATTCCCCGAAAAAAGTTTAACATTTCTTCACCTAAATTTTATAAAATTTAAAGAAATTGTAGTGTACACGCTTGCTCTTTAATGTATCAAAAAATAAGTGCAATAGCTATTAAAGTGAATAAACGATTTTATGAATGGCTATCGTCCACGAATGCTTAGATCTCTTCTCGTCTACTGACCTTTTGATGACGACGTTGCACGGAACAATCACGTTCGTAAAGATGAACGACATTGCCAGCCTTGTCTCCCAATAGTTGTACCTCAATGTGCCTTGGCCTCTCGATGAATTTCTCAATGAACATCGCCCCATTTCCGAAAGCGGCTTTCGCTTCCGAAGAGGCACGATCAAACATCTCTCGAACCTCTTCCATTTGTCTCACGACTCTCATACCTGAGAAAATGCAAGGAAACATTATGTACTCTATCGTCAAAAGGAAACATTATGTACAAAATCGTCAATTTAAGAAAATTTGAAACAGAATATCGCAACACTGAGACTATCATGAATTGGAAGTATTTCTTTTTCGTGGATGTTTATGAAACTTAACACGAGAACTACCAACGAAATGGTAGAAATAAGTAATTTGTAATTTTTTTTTTCTTTTTTTGAATGAAATGAAAAGTTTCTTTATAAAAATAGTTTCCTCGTTGTATTAAAATGGAATTTTATGACAGAGTAAAGTTACTTTAAATATATGTGTAGTTATTGAATTATTTTAGAAAGATTCTTTATTATATTATAAACATTTTCCAATTCTTTGCATTTAAATTTTTCTGACTGTTTTACTTCAAACTATTTTGTCTTATTACTTTATTTTCAATTTTATGCTTTAATAGTTGGTAGTTTTAGTGTTAATAAATAGCAAGAAAACTTTCTACATATCAATAAAATTATACATATACATAGATATAGATATTTGTACTTAAAGTTTGTAACTTGAAATGGAATTATAATTGATGTAGAAATTTTCTTAGATATTTGGAATGAAATGGAAAAGAATTTGGAAATGAAGATGAAATTTTTAAAACTTAAGTGAAAATTTAATTTAATTAAAAATTTTTAAATTTAATTTGAAATAGAAGAAATAGTATTTCTATTGAAAATTTGAAAAATGATTCTTTCTTTAAGGATTGTTCGAAATGATTCACTTAAAAATTGTTCACTTTGGAAGTCCTTGAATTTTTAGATAATTAACTTTATGCACACCCTTTCTGAAAACTGTTATCTTCCGGGAAGATAACGCACTTTCATTTGTGAAAACAACATAGAAAAGCTATCTAATCTGTTTTATAGTTCACTTCAAGTTACACTCAATTTACGAACACATATATTCTGCTCCGATTCTGCTAAGTAAGTAATATTTGCAATATAAATATAATCTATATCTACTTTGACATATCTCAAGGCTGCAAAATCATTGAAATAATCGTATGAACAGTTAGTTTCAAATAACACGTTTGACACTTTTAATGCGTGTAAAAAGTAGTGCACTCGATAGAAAATTATCGATATTTTAAACTCCTATAACTTCGTAGAAACAAATCGTGCAACAAATTTTAAGGAATTAAACGAGGAATTTCATTCCTTAAGATCATGATTGATTTAGCTATAGAAAAAATGTTTTCCAGTGACGTTTGAATGAAGATACCTTTTCTCTAGAAAATTTTACAAATTCAAATGTCCTTACGAACATTGAAACAATTTTTTTCAATCAAATTTACCACATAGTCTTGAAGATTGAAATCTCCTTTTAAAAATCTCTTAAAATTTATTGTATAATTTTTTTCCATGGAATTATAAAAATCTAATCCTACTGTTCTTTTCAATTCTTCATCATGTTGTACCTTTCTTCTCATGCAGAAAATTATACTGTAAAATATTAATATTAAATATTTAAATGTTAAATATTAATATTAAATATTAACATTAAATATTTAAATAGTACCAAAACTGCGTGTCTATTGAATAATAATATGGAGAAGAGAATCAGGATTAAAATATCGATAATCTTTCAAACACGTGAATAATTTTTATAGCCACTGTACAATATCTTGATCTTCTAAACAAATTATTCAATCCCTCTCTACTGGAAATCTTCATAATATTTCTGAATGTTCTTCGATAATTGCTTCACTCTTACGAGGAGTATCATTGAGGGGACCAATAGCAGTTGACGAAGTGTAATTAATCCTACTCGTAAATCGTACAATAGAAGCAACAAGCATTTCGTGATGAATGAAGAGTGTTCGCGCGAAAGAAGATGAGAACAAAAAGAGCGCTAGACATACCAGAAATGAATGCATTCGACGTTGCGCATCCAGGGCATTAGCCTACTTTATCGAAACCTAGTTTTTATTTTCAGACAGAAAATAATCACGGAATGAGGCATTTAATGTGAAAAACCATAGAATATTTGAGTTAATAAAAATAACTTAAAGAAACTTCTCTATTTCTATTAAAAAAAAAAAAAAAAAACAAAGACTAAGATCTGACTATTATTTACTGTTGATGAAGTGGAGATCCTACCTCTTCCACCTCCTCCGTAGGCAGCTTTGAATATCACCGGAAGCCCATGTTTCATGCAAAATTCCATCGCTTCGTCAGACGTGGTGACTGGTCCATCTGTTCCTGGAACAATTGGCACTCCAGCGTCTATCGCAGCTTGCCTCGCAGCTACCTAAAAATTTGCATTATTTTTATTTGTTGACATTCAATTTATTAACATTCTCTTATGGAGAATGTAAAATACAAAATGTATTTGAATATCTCTCAACGTTATATACTAGTTGAGGATTAATATTCAAGTTGAACGTTTGATTAATTTTTTGGTCTTGGCGATCAGAGCACCTGACTTATGACTCGTTAAAAATAATATGGAAATATTTTGTTGAAAAGAATCGTGCCTTGTCACCCATTTGTTGGACAACTTTCGGACTAGGACCGATGAACCTTATTCCAGCATTGATCACCGCCTCCGCGAAATCCGATCGCTCGGAGAGGAAGCCATAACCAGGGTGAATGGCGTCTACATCGTTTTCTTTCGCGACTCTGATGATTTCCGGAATATTCAAATAAGCCTGGACAGGTGGAAGCCCTCTGCCAACCACGTAACCCTCGTCGGCTTTTTGCCTGTGCATCTGCATCTTGTCCTGTTCCGAGTAAATGGCCACCGAACGGATTCCCAGCTCGGTACATGCTCGAAATACACGAATGGCAATTTCTCCTGCAAGAACAACAAATCTATTTTGTTATAGCGGTACGTTTCTAGAATTTGCTTTTATTTGCTAGAATTTCATTTTATTAATTTCCTGTCGTAGAGTTAGTGTCGGAAATTTTCATACAGTTGCTGTTAATAATCGTTCGGACAATACAATGTTAAAGAGATGATGCATTGATTGGATCATCAACATATTAATCTTGGTTAATCCCCCTATGTCAATTTAATACATTTTTTTTATAAAATTGAACATATCTATATTTATATCTGATAATGCACAATTGTAAAGAAATTTAATTTATTTATTGTTAATAAAAGAACTTGCAAGTTTTCATTGTAGGTATTAATTGTTTAACCAGCATATCAAGGGACGAATTAAATTGGAAAAATGAGGAACGAATAAGAATTAAAACACCTACTGTTGTTATAAAACAAAGAATAAAATAATTCGGATCAACAGATTGATATTAATATTGTAGTTAATTGATTAATTAAACAGATTAAAAATAAATAAGATACACATAAATTTTTGTGACTCTGTGCGTCATCGTGAGATTTAATATTCCTTGAAATCTTTAATTCCAAAACTCATTTCATCTCATTTTCATTATCCTTTGTGAGGGTTTCCGTACACAATTAAACAGAGTGCTTGTTCAATATTCGAAGTATATGAAATTTCCATGCTGACTTATCGCATAGTCTTGTTATAGATATTGACTGAGATGCTTCATTATCATATCCCATTAAAGATAAATGTACATACGTATATACTTGCAAGGAATTTATGAACGTGGATCATGAAAGCATCCACCGTTATCAAGATGAAACATACGTTTAATTTGTAATTCTCATATCGCAAATATTGTTCCAGTACGAGAATGTTAATAATTTGACACGAACATGAATTTTTCTACAAAATGACGCACATTGTTTGAGTTAAATGTTCTCTAGCGTTTCATTATGAAACTAAACGAACAAGAATTTCACAATTAATCGAACAATGTCTCTGCAACATTCTCGTTTACATACGTTTACAAAATCACGTTTTTTAAGTTGTGTCACTTTCATAGCAATTCTTCAGTTTAAAAACTTGAATTTTTCCTGATGATACTGAGGAAGAGGGATATTTTTCTTTTAGAAAACGTATATTATTCATTACCATGGAGATACGTTATCCTATTGATTGATTATTAAAGAGTTCTGTTATCAAATGTAGACACAATAATGTCCGCCTTGCATCAACTCGCATTATCGTCTCGTTCTGGTTCGTTAGTCGATCATTTCCACCATATAAATATACTCACAATCAGTTATCAAAAACCTATGTACATTTGAAAATTTCAAATATTTAAAGAAAATCGAGAATTTTATAGACACTAATTCTAATTATTAGTTAAAATTATGCGAAACACATTATGCTCTTCTAATAGAAAAGATGAATAAATAAAAAGTATGAGTAATGAGATCTACTGAGGATATTACAATTACTATGGGTATATTAAAATATGCAATAAGTGTTTTTATTATTATTACAATTATAATCAAAACAAGTTCCATTCACTTTACTTTACGTATGGTAATTAAAAAACATTATTAATATTTTTTTTTTTTACTAAAATATCAAAAATCCTTTCTCTTCTGCTTTAAATATTTGAAATTTGACAGGTATACAATAATTTCCTATTAATATTCGAACATCTTGATGCTGGGGAGACACCAATTACATTACTTATAATAGTGTTATTAAATTAATTGTTTTTCACTGTATTAAAACATTTGTTATAGTTAGTAGAAATATAAATTTCTGAGTTTTTACATAAGACAGATATACACTGTATATAACTGATTATCATTACATACATCTTTAAGATTCTTTCACTAAATATGATCAATGCTTTATATTAATTACTAAAAGTAATTAATTACTAAAAATAATTGAAAATAAATTCCTACAAATAATAAAATATAACGATGTGATAAATTTTCAATATTGAATTCCAAAAATACGACAATTTTCGAGAATGAAAGATCATGTTATCAAGCTTACAAAAAAAAAAAAAAAAAAACGATGTTATTGACAATCCTGACAACCTGTTACTTATTGATAATCTTAAACAAAACAGAAAAAGCAGAAAATATGTTATTAATAATCTTAATCAACATTTTGTATTTAATTGCGAAATCTTTAACTGGTTTATCATTAGTGGGTCAGTTACGATTGAAGCTAAAGATAGACACGTGAATGGCTTAACTTCGAACTGACAAAGTAAATACTGATAGATAACAATGCACAGAACTTTAGTTGTAAACAAATGAAATAGAAAAATTAACAAGTGCAAAAAATTTAACAAACTTTATTCATCGGTCCATCGATATTTCATTTTAGAGATATTATCGTTTAAAGTTCTCTTTGTATAATATTGTTTCTCTTTCTTCTCATATATGTATCACTTATACGTAATAGTACTTTTATTAAAATAACAATATAGAATGTAATTTCAATCGTTTCTTCTTTTTGTACAGAATAAGTTACAATATAAGCAAATTAACGAAAATAAAAAATAAAAGGAAAGATACGAATAATCATTGTATTCTCTAAGTTCTAAGCAATATCATTATTTTATCTCAATGAATATAAATAAAATATTGAATTTACTTTTTTTTCAAATATATAAAATTTATTTTCATTCATTTATTCATATATAAATCCTACGTTTTGTCAATTCTGCAATTCATTTAATTGTAATTAAACACAATCGCAGATTTATCGCCTTACGATGTTAATCACATCAAATAGTAAAACAATTTTTTTCAAATTTTTTTTTTTACCTCTGACCTCTAACAATTATTTTATATCCAAGAACTTTGACATGAATTTGTTATCTTTCTAAATATATTTTGAGCACGTGCTTAAAGTATACTTTAATCATAATCTTGTAACATAATGTTGGATGACCAACCAATATTGAATCTATTCAATTACTGACAATGAGCTAGCAACAGTCCACATAAAAATGGACTGTGAATAGTTAGTTATAAGGGCAAGATCCAGTAGTTGTCCTTCACCTTCCACTTGACGATGGTAACCAAATATATATAAGGACATGCTTTAGAGACACTTCAGAGCATAAAACATTCTAAATCATTATAGAGACATTCTATATCATTAAGAGCATAAAACATTCTAAATCATTATAGAGACATTNCTATATCATTAAAAGCATCAAACATTCTAGATCATTCTACATCATATTCAAGAGCATTAAACATTGTAAATCATTCTATATCATTTCATACACGACCACGACTGTAAGTGAATAAACTCTTCTAAACTGTAAACGTGTTGACTCTATTACACGGAATCCAACAATAATAAGTCTAAAATAAATTGCGAAATTAATATGTATCGTTATACAGGGGGGAAAAAAAATAAGATAAGCAAAATAAAATAAAACATTTTTAAGGTCGCAAGGAGAATTAAAAAAAAAAAAAGGAGAAAAGAGGGAAAGGAAACGAAAAGAACTCACCTCGATTGGCAACCAGGACGCTCCTGATCGGTTTGTACTGGACATCTGTGCCGAAACATCTTCTTGCCACTTTATACACTTGCAACACGTTCCTATGTTTGATCAATGAGTATCTAATGCGCAAGGAATGCATTTCTACGATCTAGATTCGCAACACCTTCACTAAATATATCAATTTACACTGTTCGATTGAAATTTAATATACTCTTAATATACTATATATCGAATTAACTTTGTTAGATATCTCTCCTCAAATTTCCTCGATGTCACCGTTCTTTCAACGAAAACCGCTTTCGTACTCGCGAAATATCTTTCGCATCCGCGCGTAACAGAGAAAATATATATATCTTTACAACACGAAACTTATCACTCTTTATTATCTCAAACAAACACTGTCTCGTACACGATGTTACATAGGTCTCGATGTATCGTGAAAGTTCAGTTCGAATAGCTGGAAGCTGGCGCCTCGTTCCTTATCGAGAGTCCGGCGTGGAGTGATTGCCAGGTTTCTGAAACAATAGATGTTCAAGTTCGCGCGTGATCAAACAAAAATCGTGCAATTAGCGCATGGGGAGGGGGAGGAGGGGTAGAAATATTCGAAACAGAGTCGAAGTTGACGTCATTTCGAGATGTAGTTGATCGAATTGTTAAATATTCTGTTGCAAATTGTTACAATCGTGACAGGGACACCTGGACGATGTTTGCCGATGAATGACGAAACATCGAGTCTTATCTCTTAATTGTTAATTGTTGAATGATTCCTGACGAATCTAACGAGACAGGCGTAGATATTTGATTCGTCAAAGGCTTGATGATATTACAGAATATTAAAATTTGGTAAATTAATCGATTAATAAAAAAAGATCTGCTTTAAATCATCAATTATTCTCAATATCATATGATTATTACTTTGTTATTATTATTATTCCTTACTTATTATTATTTTTACATATTAATAATAATTAATAATCATAATTATTTATTGCAATTATAAGTATTCGTAATTATAGGTGTGCCTAATTTTATTAGAGAAGAACATTATTTTGCAAACTTCGCTGCAGGATGTTCTAATCACAAATGAAACATCGTGAGTGATATATTTTCTTAGATTATAAATCGCGATGTTAATCGAAACGAACGTGACCGAAAACTCAACGGATTTGCTTGCGATGAAAATATTTTCGATTAGGAATGATCGGTTGATTATCAAATACGACAAACAAAACGTGTTAGCCTTCTCGTTCTTTTTGTTCATTCTACGTTTGGTTCAATAAACTATGACTTTCAAAGTATAATATGCAAAGTATAATATGCAAAAGTGTAAAATACACAAAGTTGATATGCCTACGTAAAATATTATATAAAAAATATAAATTTTAATATTTATTTACTGTAAATTCAAATACTTTCTGCAACATTCAGTAGATATAAAACAGATCTTTGCGTTCGTGTAAAATATAAAAATATTACACAAATATTCACAGTCCACTTCATCAATTATTATAGCTTTTCTTTCAACGAGGTGCGAATGAAAAACCATCGATTGTTATCCCTTAATTATTAATTAATGACTGTTAACGACATATAATTGGTCTTTTACGAGTTACCTTGAAAAAAACGCAGGCTTTTCTCTGCCAGATATTTGTTAGGCGACGAATTGATAATAAAGAATATTAAAATTCGATAAAATTCCACTGATCGATAAAATTCGATAACAAAAATATTAAGAACTGATTGACGAGTTGATTGACATCGATTGATTAATAAATAAAACTTTCAGTTATTAATTATTCTTGTAAATATTACACCATGTTATATTCATTTTGAACAATCATTTCAAATTATATTCTTTTAAAATATGTATATAATATAATACACCTATTACATTTATATACCTTTTAAAGAAGAACATTAAAATTGTTCATCGCGCGACATTCTGATCACAATGGAATTGTCGTGAATCATACAGTTTTTTAAATTACAGATCGCGATGTCAATCAAAACGAACGTGACGGAAGGTCGATGGATTGCTTATAACGATATATTTTCGACTTTAGGAACGATCACACAGGTCGATGGATTGCTTATAACAATATTTTCGACTCTAGGAACGATTACACAGGTCGATGGATTGCTTATAACAATATTTTCGACTCTAGGAACGATCACACGATGAAGTCAAACGTAAACGAACATGAACTGAACTTGTTTCTTCGACCTTCGGGAGCGTACTTTGAATCCGCGGCTGTTAGTCTCGGTCGTTAACATTATTATAACACGATACGCTCCTCTTATAAATAAATAAAGCCTAGTTAAAGTCTCTTCTGAATATATTGCCCCGATTACTTACAGGGCATCACGAGCGTAACGATGCCTATTGAGTAAATTAAAATGATGAATTCTTTTTAACTATCGAAACGGATGGACCTAGCAGATTTCTAATGTAACATAATATAATGTAATATAAGTTAGAAATTTGATATATAATTTTATAATTATATATTACACATATATATATATATATAAATATAATAATATTATATTTTATATATATATATATATATATTTATTTTATATATTATATTTATAATCATATAAGTTAGAAATTTGATATATAATTTTATAATTATATATTATATTTATATATATAAATATAATATTATATTTTATATATATATATTTATTTTATATATTATATTTACAATCATATATTATATTTTATATATTACATTTATTTCATGTAAATTTAATATAAATTATGAATATACTACGAATTTTATAATGTAGGAATCCCGGCTTGAGACCCCAATTTGTAGGGATTTTGATAAAAGATGGTTTAAGATTGAAAATAAGAAAATTTGTTCAATGATGATTATAAAGTGACGTTTTACATTATTTTTTTCTCTACCGCTAAATTCGTCATTCATACACATATATACTCAAACGCATCCCTTAAATGCTAGGCCTGGAGGGCTAGCCATAAACATTCCCAAGTCCCAAGCCTAATTTTCTTTACAATTTATGGTACACCACTTGGGACATCTGCAATTGTTGGGCACTGAAGAAAGTTCTGGACCCTTTCCCACAATAATAACATAAGTGCTGCAATTTCAATAGATTTTGTCTTACAGTTAGAATTAAAATTAATTAATGTTATTATAATAAAATTAACAACAGAAATATATCATTAATAAACAAGTATTAAGATACTGTGACATTTTCCAGAACTAGATTTAAAATGTTTGTTTTTCAATTCCAAGTGTATACAATCGATCATCAAAGGTCAGATACATCTATGAATTTCAAATATTTAAATCGAAACGACGATTTTACTTATTTATTAGCTACAGTTATACTTTATAGTTATACTAGTAGTGATTAAAGTACTAATTGTAAAAAACCACGAATGGATATACTAACAACGTGTATACAACATGTATAAAATATGTTCTTATTATTACTATATTTCTAATTTTCGTAAGATTTTCTTTAAATAAAATAATAATAATAAAATAATAATATATTTCTTGTAAGAAATATACTAAACTCGTACAATACTTGCAACACTGATTGTTAGCCCTAACACTTTTGACAGCGTGTATACTTTTCCAAATAGAACTCAAAATGAAATCGGCACATAACGAACGAAATTTCTCTCGTGAATCGAGAATGCTAATTTTTCAATAAGGCTGTGTTTGAATTTACGAGCGTCAGAAAAGTTTAAATTTACTTACGCTAGTATTAATACACTTATAGTAATATAACGCTTTAATAAATAAACACTACGAAACAACGCCGACTCAGATAATTGCATAACAAAGCGTGCAACGTTAACGAAAAGATTACTGCGTTTTTGTTTTTCCAACTTTCTGTATTCCCGGCCGATAAGGAATCGTTCGCACGATAAATGGAAACAAACGTTTAAAGAGCCGGAACGACAAACGTTCAATCCACATCAGTGGAAACCGATGGAAAAAGAAAAGAAATATGTGTCACGTTTTATGATTCTCCGAGGTCGATGCCAATTAATTATCGCGCCGAGACTTTTATCGTTCTTTGACATTATAGGTTTACCAGAACGATTTCCTTACGTAACGCGTAGACTATGAACCTCAGACAAGACAATAATTTGCAATCGATTCGTGCATAAATCTATGTACGTTCTGAAAGGAAGGGAACAGCTCTGCTTTACTTCGAAAACGAGCAAACAAAAAAAAAAAAAACAGTTGTAATTTCTAGTTAAACGATCGATTCTTTCACTGTTTTGTTGACAGCAAATGTGAGAAACACTTGTACACAATTTTCAGTTCGATGCGGGACGATTTTTACAATTTCCATCTTGTTTGCTTAATCATTCATTATTTGATTGGCTGATTATTTATTTATCTACTTAATGTTGAAAATGTCGATTCAATGAGAAATAATTGAAATACGCTCTGAACTTGTTAATCCTTTTGCTAAATTTTTGAAAAATTTCTGTCATTTAATTTTGTCCTTCAATTTTTAGTTTAGTTAATCCTTTTACTGTTTATCGTTTCGCTTGAACGATTTTTGCAAATGTGATTCGTAATTTTGCAGTTTTCAGTTTGGTTAAGTTCTGAGAAAATTTACGCTGTTTATTTAATTGAAAATAGCAAAAAAGAAATATCTTTGCAATTTTCAGTTCAGTTCATAATTTTTCTTAAAAGTAGCAAATATTAGATGCTTGTAATTTGGTTAATTCTGTTTCTATTCTATTTTCTTTTGCACCGTTTGGAAACAGCAAATACGAAGCACTCGTAATTCTCAGTTTGATCGAGATCCTCTTATTGAATTTTGAAAAGCTTCTTGTTATTTTTGAAAACACCGAAAGTAAAATACACATAATTTTCTGCTTTATTGACTTTGTTTCTTTGAATTTGTAAAAACCAACAACTTTCACTATATTTATAATCACTTACTATTCGTATATTTTATTTCAAGAAATGTCCACTCTCATTAAATGTAACAAATTCACTGAAAATATTTTGAAGATATCGTTTTACTTTATAGTGAAATAGAACCATTGTTTCTTGAAATAAACCTAACACTTTCGGACATTAAAACAGCAAATGAGAAAACGCATCGAACTACCGAAACACACTGAACGACAAACATAATGTTAGAATATTTAACGTAAATTAGATTAGAAAGACTTTATTATGAAGGAAATTTCTTCAATGTCGAGTACATTTCACTCAGGTATAAAGGTGCGTGCGCACTCGATTTAGAAAGGATCATTTCTCACGCGTGTGAAACGCTTATGCGTGTGAAACGCATTATGTTAAATATGAAAACGCACTATAGCCCCTTAAGCTCTGTGTGCGAAGGGGATGCTATAGAATTTTGTCCCTCGTAGATGATACAACCAACTCGAAGAGTCGACGAAAGAAAGAAAACGACCGTTTAGAATCATGTTTACTTTCCATTTCAACTCGTGAAGTTATATTTTATGTATTCAGGGAAATAATCAGTCCGAAAAGTCTATGTA